ACACTGATTGATGTGTCTGGAAAGTACTCACTTTATTCAAACACACATTTTTACCACATTGCCTTCATTAGGCATATGAAGGTTATGTGGTGGAACACGTTTATTTCAGTGCATACTCTTTGAGGAAGTTAGTGTTGCAGAGTTATTTTTCCACATTTATTTATTTATTTATTTATTTATTTATTTATTTATTTTATATTTTATTTGATGTGATTGTCTTGTGAAGTCGTGAGCTAAGATGACTTTGCCTTGATAATTTAGTTGAAATAAACTAAAGTTTTCTTGGTGATAATGGATTTAAGCAACACACAGTAACACTGATGCTGCGTGGCTACTAGGGATTTCAGCTGTTCCACTGCCATGTGTCCTTCCCAGTAAAAGAGGTTATAAAGTTGTGTATAAAACACAGCTGAATACTGATTATGATATTGCCCTTAAAGGATAAGCCTGTTGACATTCTGTATTTTTCAAAGCCGGTTAGAGCTTGTTCTTCTGTGCCACAGACCTCAATCTTTGTCCAAAAAGGCAAAGAGCACATCAGTGAGCCACACTATTGTTCCTTTGTGGCAAGTTCCGTCATTACCATTATCACAGGCTATTTAGTTTCTATTGAGTCAATCCAACGTACACCATCTTGCTTCAGTAATTGCACACTAATGGTCATGGCTGAACAGAACCCCCAACAAATACACTGTTTACTCCTGCTGTTGAGTCATGTTTTTTAGAAACTACAGTTTCCAGCTGTTTTTAATAAATTATTTGGCCTCTTTTTATTTATTTTTTTATAAGTAAAAGTGTATGTTTTGTAATTTGTTTTTAAAATATGTCTTCAGTTGAGAAAATCTGAAAGTACTGAGCATAATTGGTTTTCGTCTTTTCATGGGATTTGTGCATGACAACAAAATATTCAGTTTCGGCAGCTTTATTCTTTATAGATAATAGATCAATTGATGACCCCTTGTCTACGAGCATAATTAATCTTTTATCTATTTTTATAGTGGTTATTATAAGTCAGTGAATGAGCAACTTTCAGTACAGCCATCTACAGGGAGCCTGAACCCACAAGCAGCACTGTCCTCTAAACATTGGTAGTTTTTCAAAGCAACCAGATATCATGAAAAACAGGCATAATGTTCTATTTTTTGTGTTCTATTTTCCCTTTTCAATGTTAAATTAGCCATTAGCCACCTATTACCATTTCAAGCACTTTTCCTGTCTAGTGAGACACATTTGATACTATTTTGGTGGCAATAATGTGGGTGGCAATTGTAATACATGCATGCATTTTCTTTAAAAATGCTACCGCACAATTTGGACAGAAATCTTAAAATATTTCTATTCATTTATTTTTCTTTCTTTGTTCTATTTGTTGTGTTTTGGCCCCATGTCATGCTTAATGAATCTGGAATCAACTCTATTAAGTAATTACACAGCCTATAGAAAGAAATGACTAAATGGACATCTATCACAGCATTCCTATTCTGTTAAAACACCTTAACAACAGCACATTATGTATCATTTAAATGTATATTTTCCTAGATAGTAGAATTCACCTCCTCACATACACCATCGCTCTGCTACTCTTTGTTTACCCAAATTACATGGACATTGTAAATCAGAATGCATTTGATAGCTTAATCCATTCCGAAATAATCCTCCTGATGACATGGACGTGCCAGCCTGGCTGTCCTTCACATACCTGATGTTAACATCGGGGATGATTTTGATGTTTTAACTCCGGCCCCCAATGACTAATGCAAGTTAAACGCTCCTGTGGTTGTTGTTAGGCTGCTGTTTTTCAAGGGCTCTCAGGGGTTCTAGGCTTGTTGTTGAGTGTGATATTATGGAACAAATAGCAGGGCTTAATGGTGGTGCAGATGATTTAACTGCCCTCAGGGCAATGAAAAAGGGAAAATGATTTTGTATGCCTAGACATTGTACAAGGTGTTGTTCTGTAGGTGTTTTTGAAGCCTTTTATTTCCTCCCAAGCTTCCTAAAAACATTTCCCGATGTATAAATTAGACAAAATTTCACAATGTCTGAATGTAAAAATACCTTTTAGGCCAAACTCTCCATATAGAACATCTTATTTAAATTACAGGTTAACCCACATAATTGCTATTCACTTGTGTTTTCTAGATTTAAGATTTATGAATGTTTGAATGCAGCACGGCTCTCTTCAGCCTCCTTCAGGCCCAGCACAGACTGTGTTGTCTGCTCTGCTCTATCAGAGATGCTGTGGCTTTAATCCTTTGCCCACAGGGGACGGCTGACATGGATGAGTGTAAACTGTTGACATGGTGCTGTCTCCTATGCTCTCTGATCAAAGACGGTGTAGCCCTCCTGTTTCACAACCTGCCTCCAAATATGCTCCAGTCTCTGCCACGGAGACTCCCGCCCGCTCTGTTTTCACACTTTATGTTAACCCATGTTTCTCCACATTGAATTTGATACATTTGATAAAGAACAAAGCAGACATTTATGACTTCACCCATGTAGCCTCTGTGGCCTCCATCCATGCAATGAATTTGATTTGGAAAAACACTGTGCAAGTTGCTCATACCATAGCGGAGACAATTTTTTGAGACAGTAATGTGCTGAGTGCAAGGAAAGACTTGGCTTGATGTAATGCTTAGTTTAATTAATCCACGGTAATGATGCAACTATTAGTAAGAGCTGAGCTCGTCTTAAGTGGCTGGAGGTGTGTGTGTGTGTGTGTGTGCGCGTGTGCGTGTGTGCGTGTGTGCGTGCGTGTGTGTTTGTATTTGATGTGTGCAAATGCTGATCAGGCCACTATAACTCTCTATTTAAAGGTGATTTAGTCTCAGTTAGTCCAGGGAGTTCTGCTCTTCTTTAAAAGTTACTTTTAACCTAATGAGACTCACTCACACTAACAAGTGTGATTTAGTGTAGTTGTCATGGTTACTGGGTCACGATAGAGCATTGCATGTTCTTATACAATAAAAGAATAGAGATTTTTAAAACTGTTAATCTTGGTGGTAAAACCAATAATCTCTAAGATGTGTCAATGCTGGTAGATAATCCTATGTATAGTAAATATTATCTGTATTATGGTGCTGAAATTGTTGTAGCCTTATGTACTACAACCTATTAGTATTTTTAGGTCAGTGTGTTCTCAGTGCTTAAGTGTTCATGTTGGTAGAGCTCTTTTGCTGTGTTAGAATGAAATGATGCTGAGACAGCCATGACTAGAGTGTTCTGGTAGTTTTAGTGCATTTTGGATGTGATATTAACTGTTTTCCCAAGCTGCATGTTTGTAAAGGGATCCGTGTGAAGAGCTTTAAAACGGTGCACACAGCAGTACACACAGTACAGTGTGTAACCAGTTGTACAAAAAACGGTAATACAACATGGATTATCTAAATGGATTCAAAAATTGCACTGCAGCAAGTAACAGTGATTTCTGCCTCCATTTTGAGTCTGGCAGATTGTCATCTCCGGTTTTGTCTTAGTTTTTTCTGCCATTAGTTTTTTACACAGAAGCAATCTGCATACCCAATTGTTTGCACCCCCCTACCAACAGGGAACCACTATTAGCCAATACATCTCCATGTTTTGAATGGCACAGTGGCTTTTGACTGCTTAAAGCAACACAGAACTTTCTTGTTTTGCCTGTGCACCTGATTGACAATGGCTTCAGCTAGACATTTTCTTCTCTACTGGCACAGACTGAATCCATTGCGGAGTGCATTTTTCCCAATGAGTTGGATTATTGCAAGTCTGGGACTGTACATGCTCTAGGGAGTGTGTATGCTTAAGGACAATTTGTGCCTCTAGCCTTCGCTGTAATTCTGTTGACAATGTTTGATTTCTTTCGGCAATTTGCCCCAAGAAGCCGAAGAGACATTTGTGCTCAGAAGACATGGGGCTGATTGTCTACACTCCTTGTAATGTAGGCTGCCTGCATTTTACTAAATTAAGTTTTCACATAGGAGCTTAGCAGGGAATCTGTTGTGGTATTATTACATCCATATTTTTCAAACATATTTACTTTTAAGTCTATTTAGTTTTTCTTTTTTCTTTCCCAGACCAGCTGCTGCTGGAAAGATTTTGATTGATTGTAACTGTAAGAGAGCATAAAACATCATAGGGGCTGCAGAAGAAGCTCCTCCGGTTTTTGGCAGATCCCTGATGGTGATGATCATTACTACCCATTAAGGCATTGTGTCAAATGATGGCACCTGGGCTACAAGCAAAGCGAACAGTCACAGCTATTGCTCTGGCTCCTATTTTCACTGGTTCAGTTTGTGAGGCTATGAAGTTCAGGAAACCAAAATTAGTCAGAATAGCCAGGCTGGTAGAGAGACCCGAAGATACTCGGTAAAAGTTATACTTGTTAAAGTGTGTTTCAGTCACTGTCACCACTGGGAGTTACAGTCCCTCCTGAGAGGAGCTGAAACAGCTGCAAATTGGGAGACGATTTGAGGCGCTTTGACTGATTGTTTCTATGAAACTGAAGTATAGCGGGACTTTAGATGTAATCTATAGATTTGTGCAAATATAGGTTTATAAATGACTGGTGTAATTTACATGACTTTGGATGGTCCAAAAAATCCTGGATTGATTTATTGCCCAGCCCTAGGGAACAGGGGGTGAAACCCAGTCTGCAGTGTAAAAGTTGGACACACCCATCCACCACCCCAACTTTCATACCCTCACATTTCGCTGTGCTGCATTGAATACATGCTTCCTTTTTTGTATTGGTACTAAAACATTTGCATCAGATGTAAATTGTATTTGTCCCACAAAATACAATCTGAATCCCAGGGGAGACTGGACTTCATTAAAGAAAATTTGAATAGAATTCTTGTACACTTTTCTAAATAAATCTTTCACCATGTTGCAAGCTATTGACATTGACCATTTACATTTCCTCAGACATTTTTAATAGATTGTTGAATAAGCTGCCATAGTGTTCGTTCAGGTTGCACATCTTCTGCCCTTGTGGATTTTCTTACGTCTGCCTCTGCCTCCCACAGTTGCATCGGGTGGACAACCTCACCATGCTGGAGACGGGCACCATGGGAGCAAAGGCGTAATGAGGGAGAGGAGGGCAGCTGGTGACCCCTATTGGTCCTATTCAGGTGAGCTCTCATTTGTGCGCTTGCCAGAGCCCTCAGTAGGAGGGGAAATGTGTTTCTTTGACTTACTCACCCCTGTTCCAGCTTGCCTATAATTTTCTGCTTTTTGCCTACTTTTTTGCCAGTAGCCCCTATTTCTTCCTTAGTGCAGGAGCCAAAATAGGCCGAATCAGGCATTTAGTATTCAATAGTTATATACCTGTACTGTAGGTTTTCATTGTCCTTAATTACTCTAATTAAACTAATGCACTTGAGAGAAAGAAGAAAGAAAAAAGTGATATATTACAAAGAGAGTAAACATTATGTTGTAGCCAACTGTGATTAATCCCAAATGATTTATTTATAGTCAGGTTTGGATCAAGCATACAAATGGAGATTTGTTGTGGATTGAAATGAGAATTACAAATACAAAAGTCGAACACATGGCATAGAGACAATTATGACCTCTAGTGTGTCAAATTCAGTTGGCAGCCATTTCCAGCAGAACTCTTTTTAAAGTATAATTTATCAGACATACAGTATGCCTAGCTGTTAAAGCCTAGCTAGTTCAGTTTTTTTTAATTCCTGCTTCTATTATTGATAATATGCATGCTTTTAACGCTGAAGTAAGTGCTTCAGGGAATTCAGACTTGCCTCCTCCTCTAATCTCTCAGCCATCTACCTTAACAAACTGGGGAGATGGGTGGATATGGCTGCCGAGAGTGAACAGTCAGATACACGCTCTAATGTATGATTCATTATGTGCTCTTTTATGCTTGTAAATATTCTAGAGTCGTGTGTGTTTATATATCCGTATTTGTTCAGTAAAGTTGTGGTCTGTTTTTCAAAGTGAAAGTGACAAATTGAACTGATTAAACTCTGTTTACTGAAGTTTTTAAAGCAATTTTTGAAGGTTGTACATGGGAATTTGTTATGATTACATAACATCTTATCAAAAAATAGTGAGTCGCAACTTTGCTAACATAGCCAAACACCAAGTGCAACAACACAAGACACAGCAAGCCAGCTAATATTACTAACTGATCCAACAGCAAGAAGGCCAGCTTACCGTCTATCCTGCTGCTTTCTTTTTCAAAAGCTCAAGCCAACGACTTAAAGACAGTCCGTGAGTCCGGTCTCTGTAGAGGCTGCTGAGCCTGGTTACGTTTTCCCGCTTGGTTCTGGTGCCCACACTACACTACTCTGACTTCCCAGTCCAGGCAGAACTGAGCTAACTAGCTAACAGCAGTTAGCAGTTAAGTTACTTCAGCAACAAGTACAGCAATTTGTACAAATCACTTAAGAGTTGGGGTCGTAAAGCATTACACACTTCTCACGGGAGATCATACCTGGCTACTCAGGTTTCATAGTGTGAGAACAGGCATTTGGGGTGCAGAGTGGGAATGAAAGAGGCACCACTCTCCCAATTAGAAGTCGGTGTACCGCTAAAATGATTTTGAAGCTGTTATTTTAAGGTAAAATTGTATAATGTTGCTTTAAGTGGCAGCAGCATAGTTATAGGCTTTACAAAGTTGTTTATTTCAAAGTCTGCAAAAAAGCACATTTAGCTAAGCAAATATGAAAACATTTTGTAAAGAAGCTATTTGTAAACTATAAAAGGCATTTTGTATACAATTTATTGAGAAATTTCCATTTCATTTTTAACTCCACGCTTTAGCACCATAAAGGTTACCAACATGCCGTATTTTGCAGTATTCATATAGTCAATACGTTTTGCCTCCACTCACTTACTATTTAAATATTGTTGCTCATAAAAAAAGAAATCAATGAGGAAAACGCTCTTTCTGCATTATAAAATCCTTTTATATGTAATAGTACGCTTTGTAAATGTATAGGCAGGTGGATGCAGACCAAGAGATGTGTTAATGGCTGGGAACAATTATGATGAGCACACATCAATGTTCTTTCACAGGACTGCTTCACATTCAGCTATACACACTCACACCCCAGTGCAAACACAGCCCTCGGTTGGGCATTGAGCAGCTCTGGTGGGAAATGGGGGTTATGTACTTTGATCGAGGGCAGCTCATTGGAAGAGCTCAGGAAGTGAGGAACAGTCAGTAAAATTATATTTACAGGTTCCAAGGTCCAATAACATCACCTAGCAAATAACTAACCTGGTTCCTCTGCTCTTGGAGTGAATCGCAGCTCTCAAAATGATTATACCCTTGGAATATTCTGTCTTTGGCACTGCTGTTGTGAGTAAAGAACATGTATGTCTGTACATATGTACATAAGGCTTGATACAGACTTTTCACATTTCTTTGGGGAATTCAGTTTGAGGGCCATATGTCTTTTATTTGACTGAATGTTATGTATGCCATGTTTGTGCACAGAGTTGGATGCACGCTTAGCAAGAGGCAGGCTAGTAATTGGGAGAAGATAGGATCTCTTTTTTTAACATAGGGAGGTTAGAGAAAAAAATTACTAAACATCAGGTCAGGCAACTCGCTGATGGCTTGATTTTGGACGTTCATTTCAGGCCCCGTTCAGAGCACTTACTCCTACCAGTGAAGGCAGCTGGCTGAAAAGGGAAGCATTGAGGGAACACAGAAATGTCCATTGCTTTGGAAAGGTAATTAGTGGCTAAGGCTGTGAATGGGGGACAGACAAGCGTGCCTTAGCAGCTAAATGGTTATTAAGGGCATTTGCTCTGTGCAAGTGAGTGTAAAAGAAATGCACACAGTAGGGTTAGCCTGAAGCTAGAAGGTACTGGTGCAAAATAGAATTCAGTTCTAGGAGCTAAACACATATAGAGTACAGAACCCATTGTTTCACACATTTTCCACACCCTTCACTGTGTATCCTACAGTCTACAGAATAGGTCTCAGAAACTGGAGCAGTAGCAAATACAATTTGAGTTTCTTCAACGTTTTTTTTAATATGAGATAAGGGTTTGAGTTTTTACATAAGGTGATGATATTAATGTCATCAGTATCAAAATATATTCCATAGTTTTCATGATAAGAGAGATTTCTAAACCCTTGCATTTTAACACATTAGTCGAATGCATTGAGGAGGGAGGCACACAGTGTAATTAGAGCTCTTATCATCCCATGACATGTCACCCTTCTGTGTGCTTTGGTTATGAACCTCACTGAAAGTAGCCTCGAAACCTACACCCTGAAATTTGATTAAAAGTTATTTAAGGCATGGTGTGTGTGAGTGTGTCTGTGTGTGTGTGTGTGTGTGTGTGCGTGCGTGTGTGCGTGCGTGTGTGTGTGTAGGCATTTTTCATAAGAGGGATGATATCATACTCCCTATAAGACTCCCACAGGAACAGGGCTATGCATCATTTCCCCCTTTTTATATCTCTGCAGGTTTTCACATCTTCTCTGTTAGTTTCTCTGGCTTCCTTTATCTGTACTTTTATGTTTTGGGGCAATATAGGCAGTAGTTTGCTTTTGATTGCACTCTTGTTGATTTATTGTTCTAGTTTAATTACAGCACAACAGTTGGAGTACCTTAATGTTCATTTGCAGAGGCATTATGCCTGATCCCCCTTAACAGTGTGTAGAATGAAAAACAAAAAAGAAAAACCGAGCAAAGAAATAATGGCATTAGATGTAGAAAAATATAGATGAACAACCTGAAGAAAGTGGTCTACTACACTTGATTGTTCTTACTGCATTATGAGATTTTGTCAAGTCCCCGAATTAACTTGCATGTCATTTCAGGCTGATATTAAGCCTAATGAAAGATTTATATCCTTGCTGTGCTCACTAAGAATGTATGATTTGGGTTTATAAAAAAAGAAAACCGTGCGTAGTTGGAGAAATAAAAAATGCAGTAAAGACCACATGATGATACTGTAGCCCAAATCATTTACATGATGATAGTCTACCTCCGCAAATGAATAATATAGCTATTAAAGCGCTACATCTCAGGGATTTTTCCCATTTATTACTTACTTCAAGCTCTGTAGAGATAGAGCTCCTACTGTCTGTTTTCATCCAGCAGTCGTGGATGTTTGGATGGAAGCCACCCTGACGAGCTGTTGTAGCCACTGAAAGAGCCTGCGTTTGTCTGATACGTGTGGATTATATTTCCCCTCAGCCTGACTGTTTTATTCCACTTCACTGAGGTTGCCCGTGATCATTAGCAATCTTTCCACTCATGTCTCACATAATGAAGTGAATGAAGTGTCATTTTCAATCAATTGCTATGTTGATCCAACTTAATTAGTACTTTAGAGGATACAAAACAAGATTAGTTAACTCACTGTTCTTGATTGCCAGGGCTGTTTGTTTTGGCTTTGAATTAACTCTCCATTCTACGGCTGCATGCACTTTCTGTAGCTGCTTATTGTATTTCTTCACTACTTTCAATCATTCTCTTTAATTTTTGGTTAAAAATATGTGGCTAAGAAAATTGCACTGATTTGGTATTACCAGCTTTTAAGATAAACATGTCTATCATACTTTTATTTCATATTATTTTGCAGTTGTGCGATTGATCTCGTTATAGAGACACATAGTTTTAAAAAAAAAAAAAAAACACAGGAGTTTTTGGATTGATTTCTAAATTTTACTATGCTTCTCAGATTAATAAGTTGGTTCTGACATGCTAAACCCTATGATTCACCTTAAATTGGCTGAGTGCTTGTGAAGGCAGTGCACTTTGTCTCTTGTGGTTTGACACCCCCCCTACAAAGGCTGGAGGGAAAAGAGCAAAGCCATGTTGTCATGGTGCCCGACAGAAGGAGCTCTGCCTCCTGGAGGTAATGAATCGAGAGGAGGATTGCTCCCCGTAGACCTCCATGTATGAGAAGCACTTGACTTTAAAGCAAAGCTCCCTGACTATACAGCCGTACAGGGTTTAGGCATGGAGGGTAAAATATGGGGAATTCTATACACGGATCCAGGGACTCGACAGGGATGAAGATAAAAAATAAAAAAAAAACAGCCTAACGTGTGTTTTTCTGTAAGTTTTTCCGATGAGATAGATGAGGGAATTTTTGTAAGAGCTCCAGAGATCTTGCCGCACTCTCCCATTGATGAAAT